CCTGCTGGACTCTACTTCTTTCTTTGGTCTTCATTGAGTGTTCGCTTTCATAATATCGAAAGCAAATAATTCTCTGCTATAAAAGTATGCTGAATGGCTTGTTTTTCTAATGTGTACTGCCCTTCTGGAATCATACGCAAAAGCATAAGAGCATAGCAAAACTGGCATGCTATTTGTTTTTCCCTAAAAATAGGTGATTTCTTTTCCTTAAAGCAGTAGCAAAGAAATTTTTAATGCTTTGTACAATACCTGAAACAAAACTTCATTTGCCACACAATTTTCAGTAAGCATTTAGTGTTACAGACTTTATTCTTCAAATTACAACAAACCAATTTTCTTTTAATGTATTTAATCAACATACAGTTAACAACCTGTCATGGTTTAAGCATGGTTTAAGGACACAACCTTCTAAGCATGAAAGCTTATACAATGCTGCATAAGAATAATCATGCAAAACAATCTCTCTTATCTCAGAGTTCCATGGAGGCAACCCACAATACATCTTTTCAAGACTTGGGTGGCTTTCTTAAAAGAAAAGCAAGTCCTCAAGTTCAAACTTGCAGTATTTCCAACTAAGCACTCCTAGTTCTTTTCTTCTAGTTCAGCATCTTCAGGAGGAGATTTGTAAAGGGTCTTCAGTTCAAACTGTTACTTAGCAACTTGAAATTCACTTTCCCCAAGAGATCATCATATCAACACAAAAGCACGTGACAGCAAAATGAGGGTAAAGAGAGGAACCCATGAGTGAAGGAAGAAAAGAAAAAGAACCCCGAAGGAACTCATACTCACACTGTATGAGGTATCTCTGCCCATGGCAGGCGGTTGGAACTAGACGATCTTAAGGTCCTTTCCAACCCAAACCATTCTGTGATTCTATGATTTGTTTCCTCAGCTTAACTGAACCAAGCACAACCTTTATATGTTCCTAAAATAATGTTTTGTAGTGTTAAAAACTACAAACGTGTGTATAACAAGCTCCTATATGCTTACCTTATGATTGTAGGAATCTGCCACATAGAGCAGTTTTCTTTTCTTGTCCCACGTTACTCCTAAGGGATGCTGCAGTTTTGCATTTATGCCTGCTCCATCCACATCACCAAAGGCAAACA